CATCACCCCTGTGACATGCAGGATCTGAGGAAGACTGGCTTTCTAAAGAACTCTGGCCTTAGCCCACACATGGCCCCACCTAGCCCTGTCAATGGTGGGGCAATAAATTCACCCCTCCGGGAATTCTCTCATCTTTATCAAGGAGTGCGACAATACTTCCAAACCAGGATCCCCCGTAGCACTAACAGCGGGCTGGTGGCCGAGGGCAGCGCTCAGTAGTCCTCAGCCGTGTGCTTATAGCACGCACAAGTCCCCGGGTGCGACCTCCAGTCCGGGAGGAAGAGGAGCAGGAGCTGTGGATTTAGGAGTGTTGGGTTCAAACCGTACCCCCACCACTCCCAAGGCCAGAGGTCTTGGCAAAGACATACTTCCCCCGAGGAGGTGAACTGGATCCGATTTCCCCATACATCTGAATTTAAAATGCTGGCAACTGAGTCAGAATTTGAAGAACACCCTGAAAGGGCCAAATGAAACACATTTGTTGGCTAGTATCAGCTGGCCAGAATGAGCGTGAAGAACTCTGAGGATGATGGCTGGAGCGCCACACAGGTGCTAGCTAGTAAACCCGGCGGCCTTGAGCCAGAATGGAGCGAGTGCCCTACCAGGGCCAGCCCTTTGGAAAGAACAGGCAGTGACCACGGGGCTGCACACACCCTTCTCATGGTACGGGTTCTTCGCCCAGAGACCAACAGGTGACCTATCGGCTTACAGTCCTACACCCAGCGCCCTCAATGAGGCGGCCTTGCGTTTCACACATCACCTGGCCCACTGGCAAGAAAGGAGACAGACACTGCTAAATCAGTCATCAGGTGTGGGTGATGGAGCTGCTCAGTCAGCCTGGCCTCTGGTTTTCCCTCTCTCATGAACCCCTCCCAGCTCTCCCCAGGAAAGGTCTGCTCCCACCGATGACTTCAGTGACCCATGGCACGTGCTTTTGAAGGAAGTAGTTAGTCCTGAAATCCTATCTGTAAAGGAAGAGTCTAGGCAAGAAAGGTCTTTTCTTGCCAACCCCCTGGGTCCGCTGCACCTCCCATACCGCCCCAGGATGAAAACACACATGGGGAGCTATCCTCTGGACGGTGGGTGACCAGAGTGCCCAACGGAGCAGTAGCCCAAGGCCTCTGTGCCTCCTCTGCACCACAGTCAACCTCTGGCAAGTCCTGAATATGCCTACGCTTTCCAACTCCGCTATCATCATCCCACTGGCTCAAGTCCATCTCACCTCTCACCTGGACCATCTACCTTCATCCCCTTGCTGTCAGACTCCGAACTCCACACAGCAACCAAAGAGATCTGTAAAGCTTAAATCCTGTCACACTGCGCCCAACCCGTCCCTCTCCCCACCAAAAAAAAAAAAAAAAAAAAAAAACACTTTCACAGGCTTCCAGCTGATCCAAGGCCAAATCCATCTCCTCACAAGAGCCTACACCAATCCGGACCCCGCCAACCTCAGGTTCACAGTGACCACCTCTTCCTCACTACATCCCAGTGCAGTGACCTCCCTTTTTCAGTAGTGGGGATTGAACCCAGGACCTCATTCACAAAAGGGTAGAACTCTACCTTGGCCTCTTTTTGTTTTCTCTTCCAAGTCAAAGGCTCTCCATACTTCCAGACCCGGGCACAAGCTGGGTCGGCTGCCTGGGTCAGGTTTTGTCCATTACCCTATTTAGGGAAATTAGCTGCCCTGTTTCTCTACGCCTTCAGAGCATCCATCAGTGCGTTGAGCTCCTTGCCAACCGTCCTTCTTGGGAATGAGGAAAGAGCATGTCTGGCTAGATCCTTGTGCGGACGCCAGGAACTCTCTCACACGGCCCCCAGTACAATGGGGAGCACTGAACACACTCCGGGCCCTCCTCCTGGGGTGTCAGGACCACACAGCCCAGCTGGCCGGCCTGCTGCTGGCAGACACCAACACCCCAGTCCAAGATTCCCTCCTGTTTTCACAGTCCTCCTTCCCAGTCTTGACCCTACACATTTTCCAGGCAGCTTTATTTGGTTGGGCTCTTGGCTAATGACCAATGTCAACTCAGTAATAGGGCAGCAATTTGGTGGCAGATGTTTTCTTGGCAGCACAGGCCATCGGCCTTAGTCCCCACTAAAGTTCTGGCCCTGGAACACCACTGCCCAATGCCAGTCTCTTTTAAAGATGTCTCTGCAAATAAATTCAAATAAACACCCTGGGCCTCCATTAACGCCCTCCCAGCTGACCCTGGGAACAGTGGGTCTTTCAGGCCAGCTACTGCAGCCACTCCCTGGGGCAGTTAAAACACCCCAACCTGGCCTCCGGTCTCTCCTCTCCAGGGGCCACTAGGCCTGCCCTCACACACACAGCAGGATTCCGTCCTCCTTAAAAACGAGGTGGGGGTTGGGGTGGGGGGGACCTTCAAGCACGCAATTTACCATTCCAGACACAATCTCTCAGAGAGAAACAAAAACTCTCCCTGTCTGAGGCAGACCGCGAAGGCGTGTGTGTAATAAGATGCTAATACAATTTAATGATATTTCGGCTGGAAAACCTGTCCTCAGAGCCTCCTTGTGCAGGGAAGGCCAGACATTCAGAAAACAAGAGCTCGCACACTCTTAAACTGCTTCAAACGGGGGTCACAGACCCACTCTTTCCCATCTCTCATTAACTTTAATGCCTTCTCAGGGACAACAACTGCAGATACAAAAAGTGATTTTGTGCACACAGGGCAGAGGGCTGCTGTCTGTGACCGTCAACTCTCCTTCTCCAAACCCCGGGGGAACCTGAACCCTCTCCTACCACATCATTGCCTATCTGCTCTTCTAAGTGTCCCAACCAGGATCCAGCGTCCAGTGCCTACATGCACTGTGCAGGCTAGCTCTAGGGACCCAACCAAGGAGATTACAAGAATGTGATGGGTTCTGTCTAATTTATCATTTGATACTTCCTCAACGCCCCCCACCCCCCCCACCCCCCCCACACACAGGGCAAAACTCAGTGGACTGTTCTAAAATCTAGCTGCCCATTGGGCACCTGTTGGATGCTTCTCATCTCTTCTTCAGAGAAGAGAGCTGGCTTTCTGGCCTAGCCTGGAGCTGACGGCAAAGGTCACGGTGCATATAATGAACTAGATGGCCTCAGTTCATTAAAAGTAAGATAAGAACTGGCTGGTAAGAACGGTGTGGGTGCTACCACCAGGGCCTTGCTCTTGCTAAGCAAGTGCTCAGCCATCAACTACACCCTCAGGCTCAGGTTTAGTCTTTACACCGTCATTTCCTATGCTCACCTAGAGAGAGGAATTATTTTCAGGACCACTGGCTGATAAATAAACTGGGATCTACAGTGCCTTTGCCATAGCTGGAAACTACACTCAAACCTAGGCTAGCTGGCTCAAGTCTGCGGGTAGGCTTTCAGTTCCTAGGATGGATATGGGAGTATTCCAAACTCCAGGGGGATTTCTGAGTAGAAGCTAAGAGGACTGACTGCCGAAGGCCCCAGAGCCAACTTCCCTTAGTGCCTAAGCTTTGAGCTAAGACCTGCCATTCAAGTGTTTAAGCCACATGATCTAGGTGCCATGGGGGGACCTAACAAGTCAAAGTTATCCCCCAACCCCAGCCCCAGCCTCGCCTCATCCGACCTAAACATCCGTGAGCTCTCCAGACAGCCTGTGGTACATTCAGTGAAGTATCTGATGGGTGCTTCAGACAACCAACCACCTTCTACTGATAGAAACACTGGTTATAAATAACCAGAACACCCTGCCCACCACCTCAGAGACAGAGGAGTCAGTGTCAAAGGCTTAACTTAGATATTAAGGTACAATGGGGACCCGGGGAACCACACGCCCACACTGTCAATGAGAGCTAGATGGCTGAGATCTTGACAGCCTCTTGGCTAAGAGTCACTGGCCATTTAGCCAGGCAATTTGGGGGAAGGAAAAGCATGTTGGACAGGGAAACATTTGCTGTATCCAGAGGCCAAATAACCCTGCCCTTAAACACTTCATCTGTTAGAGTGCCGGGGAGACCCTTGGCCAAGCAGTTTCAAAACCAACATTCACTGTTAAGTCCTGCTGCGAAGGGTGAGGACTTCCCTCTACAAGGCATTTGCTGTGGAACCAAATGCTTTTCCACTCAAAACAACAGCCAACAGCACTTGGAACTACAGAGGAGAGGGCTCCAGATCAAACAAACATCCTCTCCCCCACCACCACCACCATGCAAACTTTCTCAATAAATTATTCGCCCGCTTCGGATCAAAGCCTGTTTTTGCAGCCTGTGACCTAAAAAGCAAATAGCATAGCCTACACATGAAAGCCTTCCTCCTTGACTGGGTCAGTTTTATTACTCATTCCTCCCCCCCCTTACAGTTTATTCTGTTATTTTCCTCCTCTGCTTTAGTGGATCGCTCTGCGAGTCCCAACCCGCCCAAGGAAGACAGGACAAGAGGACCCGGAGGGTTGGTGTGTTCGCTTGGGGCCCTAACGGGAAAGAAAGAAATCAGGCGAGGGGAAAAAGAAGTCAGTACCCTGAGAACCCAGGAAACAGGGCCAGGCCTGGTTGGCAGGCCTCTGCCTGGCCTTTCTGCCAAATGTCCTACTGGGAATTTTACCAGTGAGAGGACAGGACAGTGGCACTTTAGGGGGAGAACCCACCTCCCAAGCTCGGGTCTGTTTGCAAATATCCATGTTTAAGGGTGCATCCTAACTGTTCTTCCAGGCTCAAAACTCTTCATTTCAAATTGGGGGCCCCGCCCCTCCCTAACCCCTCTGGCACTTCTCTGAAGACAACCATAATCCCTCCCATTGACCTCTTGCAAACTACCTCTGGGTAAAACTTTGTACCTCGGAATCCTGCAGATGGAAGGGGGGGGTGCTAGGGGCAAGGGTGAGGTTTGGAAATCTTCAGAGACTCGGGATGGCGAGTGCAATGTACCGTTGGGCATAAAGAAACCGGGCGCCCCTCCCCCGCCCCCCAGCAGGAGGTCTGAGGCCAAGCTGGTTTAAAAAAAAAAAAAAAAAAGTGCCCAGGCCGGCTGCAGTGGCTAAGGGGATTAGAAGAAGGTTGAGCGCCTCCAGCCTGCCCCTGGCGGCCGACGATGGGCAAGCAGGCAGGAGGCGCGCCGGCGTGATTCCGACCGCGGGAGCCGGGAGGAGGAGCCGGAGGTGGCTGCGGGGGGCTCCGGCCCAGGCGTAGGAAGGGCAACAGGAGGTTCGGGCCGGGGGCGGTGCCAGGAGGTGGGTGGGCTTGGCGCCCGCGGCGGGGGAGGGGTCTAGGGGACTCGGGGAAGGGCAACTGAGCCCCGGGTGGGGGCGGGGGTGCTGAGCGGGGCAGAGGTGTGCTGTAGGGGGATCGGGCAGGGCTGGCTGGGCCTCTCTGTAAGGTAGAGGGAAGCCTCCAAGCCGGTTTTGCAGACGTCCTCACCCTCCGGCAGAACAGCTACGAGTCGCCAAGCTGACCCAGGATCAGCTCTTGCACGGAGAAGGGGGGTGTCTCAGGTCCCAGGGATGGGCGGGAAGGGACCGTGGGGAGCCACAAGTCTGCTCCCAGGCGGGGAGTGGGCGTGCTGAGAGCCGCTCCGCAGGCGCAGGCAAGTGGGTGGGAAGGAGGGAGGGAGAGGGAGGAAGGAGGTGAGCCGGGAAGATGCCACTGCCGGGGGCGGGGCGGGGCCGGGGATCCGGCGGAGGGACTGCAGCAGTGCTTGGTGGGGGCGGGGGCTGCAATGTCACTCATTTTGGGGTCAGGTGCGTGTGTTCCAGGCAGGGCCCGTCACTTGCCCATTGCTCCTAGATCCCACCCAGAGTGTAAAGGCGGAGGGCAGGGAGCTGCAGAGTAGTCCCCAAAGCGGGACGCGAACCGGTAGAGTTGGGAGAAGGTAAACAAGGGCCACGCCCCCTGCCGTCGCCCCGCGAGCGCGCACCCGCCGCTCCGGCCGTCGCCGGTACATTTCCACTCTAGCAGCGCCTCTCCCCCGCCGGACTCCCGCGCAGCGCAGCCCCAAACAGCTGCTGTTCCCTACCCCAGTACGCACCCTGGCTACCTGGGCTGCGCATCCTGCACTCACCTGGGAAGGTTGTCCCCCGCCCCTCAAAAAGAAAAAAAAAAAAAAAACCAACTAATTTGTGCAATGCCTCTGAGCCCAGGAACCGAGCATGCTGCCCCCGCGTGCAGCGCCCGCGTGCACCCAGCCTGGAAAGGGGGCGCAGGGCGGAGGCGGTGGCCCCCGGAAGGTGTCTAGGACTGGACCGGCTGCACGTGAGCCCAGCGCGGGGTCATGTGCATCGGCTCAGCCCGGTTCGGCACCCGGACGTGCTGCGTATCAACAAAATGAAACTCGGGGAGCCAGAAGGGCAGATAGCTCCGGGTTTCCCGTGCCCCAGTGCCCCGCCGCTCGGCCTCCCCACCCCGCACACCCCGGTCGCGCCGCAGCCCCTCGGGCCAGCCGGAGCCCGCGAGGCAAGTTGCAGCCCCAGCACCCCCCCCCCACCCGCACGCGCCCCCTCGCCGGCCCAGGGGCTCTTTGCCGCAGTCATTAATAAAGAAGGTCGCCAGGCTCACCCTTCCAAAAGTTGTTGCATGCGCCCCTCTCAGCCTCCCCGCACTGTACTCTTTAAAACACGGCTGACCAACATGCGCAATCTCTCTCCCCAGTGCTGTGCGTCCCCCCACCCCCCGCGCTGGCTTCCTAGAACAGGCAGCCAGCAAGAGAGAGAGGGAGCGAGTGAGCAAGAGAGAGAGAGAGAGGGAGCGAGGAGCACTGGCAGATCTGTTGCAAAAAAAAAAAAAAAAAAAAAGCCCACAAAATAATGCCGTGGAGATGCGCAGGGCCCATCCGCCGGGGGCTGGCTCTTACCTTGCTTCGCGGTGCCCTCCCGAGGGGCGCTGCCCTCGGCTACGCGCCGCGGCGGGGGCCGGCGCGGGAAGGATGCTCCCGAAGCCAGGAGCTCCTGGGGCCGGCGCGGGAGGGCGGGGGGCGCGCATCCATCCGGGGTCGTGGCGAGGGAGGCGACCGGGCCGCGGCGTCCCCAAGCCCCGCACCCCTGCTGAGAAGACGGTCAGCCCTCCATCCCAGAGCTGGTGCCTCTAGGAGTGGGCGCAAAGTAACTCCATGGACGCTACTCACCCCCCCAAAAAATAGCCTCCAACTGCGATGGCCGCGGTCGGCACCATTCACCAACCCCCTGTGTATGTTTCTGTTTCTTTTTAAACCAAGACTTCCTTGTGATCTCTTTAGAGGAGAAAAAAAAATGTGTTGGGGTGGGGGTGGGGTGGGGGCGGGCAGGAGAGGGAGGGGGAGTAGCCACTTTTTTCTAATTCACTCGGATCTCCGCTCCCGGCACCCCCCCCGCCGTGTCCCCCCCCTCCCCGCCCAGTTGTTTGGCTCCGGCGACAGTCCCAGGTAGCGTTGCGGGCCCCCCCCGGGGGGGGTGCACTGCACGGTCCCCCGCCCGCTTGCACGCGGGCCCGGACTCCTCGTGGACTCTGGGGCGCCCCCAGCCCGCCCTGTCCCCAGGGCCGGGCCCGAGCGCCGGCTGAGCCCGTGCAAGTCCCATCAGGTCGGCTCACACTTCACACACTCACACACATACCCCGCCCCTCCACTCGCTCACTCACACTTTCTGCTCACACCCCGCCCCCTTCGCGCCCCAGACCCAGGCGGAGCCCCCCGCAACCTTTAAAAAAAAAAAAAAAGCAAGCTTATACTTAAAAAAATCTTTTGGCGCCATATTAATGACGTACTTAAAATTTGCCATTTCTCCCTGCGTCAAAAAGACGTTTCTTTGCAAATAACAGCCTGGAGGCGACACTCGCGGAGGAAACGAGGCTTGCACGGAGTACCCCGCCCGCCCAACCCCCCCAGACTCCGGTGCTGGAAGACCCTCGCCCTCCGCCCGGTTTCGGAATCACTGGTTTTAAAATCGGAATCGAATAAATCGCGTGGCGTTTTTTGCAGCGCCAGAAGTGAGCAGAAAGTGCTGGCCGGAGTGCAGGGGAGGGGCGCGCATGGGGCTGGGGGAGGGGGCGCGGTCCTCCTCCCCCACCCACACCAAATGCAAACTAGCATCCCAGGCAGGGAAACTTGAAATTGTGGGCGACCTCCGGAAGAGAGGGGCTGCCGTGTGTGGGGGGGTCCCTTCTTGGGCTCGTTGCCCCCTCCCCCTCGCGGGTGCCTCCTGGCGCCCAGTGCTGCCCTGCATTTCCGGGGGGGGGGTTGAGGCGCGCTGTGATGGGTGGGTGGCTAGCAGGGTGGCAGCACGTCCTAGCCCCAGGCGGAGTTTGCCCCCGGGAACCCCCTTCCTTCTGCCTCGTGCCTCTTCTATTAACTGCAAAGGGTTAAAAACCGAGGGGCAACTTCCCAGGGCTGGTACTTGGCGGAGAAGCGGGGCGCCCCTCTCCCCACCCTCTCCTCCTTGCCCCTCCTCCTCCGACTCCACTTCCCGACTTGACCTTGTGGTGCACAAACAGTGCTCTCCAATCCTCGCAGTTTCTGGAAGAAGAGCCTGCGCTCGCCAGGCGGGCGGGCTGTCGGGCGGCTAGCCCGCAGTGGCGGAGCCTTGGGTCGGTTCCCTCAGCTGCGGGCCACACCCACCCAACCCGCTGCGCCCCGGGAGCTCACCTTCTCTCTAGGAAGGAAAAGGGAAGGCCTCCTGGATGGGTAGGCACGTGGGGGGCAACCTTCTGCCTCCTGGGAATGCTCCAGCTGGGGAGGTTGGCTGGCTTTGGGCTGAGGTTTGGGGAAGCCTGGCCCAGCATCCCCAAACCATCTCTTCCTTACCAACGTTTTTTGCCCCCTCCGAGATAATACAATGATTTTTTTTTTCTTCCCAACTCACCTTTGTTTTTGAAGGCAGGTGGATGAGTTTTAAATCCCTTTCCCTCTCCAAGACTGAAGGTTGTTTATTTTTCCTTTCCCTCCAACCCCCCCCCCTTGCATGGAAAGATAAATATTCAATTTACATAAGATGACATTTATGTGACAATTAAGAAGATTCCCCGATGGAATGTTGTGAACACATTTGCTTATAGGAGAAATAAATCTAATAATAAACAAACTCATAACAGCTCGAATCCTCTGACGGGGAGGTTGTCTGTGCAACAAAGAGGGACATGATGGATGCTGAAATAAGCGTTTTCTGCAACAAGAGAGAAATAGGAACTCAGAGGGGGCCAGCAGAATTTCTCGTTTGGCCTTCATTCACAAAGTTTGAAGAGTTTGGCAAGGGGTGGGGCTCGTTATCACCTCACAGTTAGCCCTGGCTAGGCTCTGGTTCTCCATGGTCCACCGGAGAAGATTTTCCCAGGCCAAGGTCAATGTCTGCTAACAGGTGTTGCAGGCTGGGAGTGTCTAACAGCACAGTTAATGGCTGCTAATTCCCTTTCAGAAGGCTGTGTGACACAGGCCAATAAATACATCTCTCTGGATCTGTTTTTCACCTTGGTAAGCTGAAGGTTCCAGAGACCACATGTGCACATACACATGTATATAAATACATAAATTTACATCCTGGATGAGTAAAGCTGGACCTGGTGAAGAGTGCACAGTGTACCTGAGTGCCTTGCGAGTGTTTTCTTTTTTATAATCTTTGTTTTTAAAATTATTTTTAATTATGTGTAGGTGTATGTGCACCTACTTTTAGTTATGTGTCAGCACATGGGCAGGTGCACGAGAATGCAAGGTGAGGCAGGCCAGAGGCACGGGATGCCCTGTAGCTGCAGTTACAGATGGTTGTGAGCCACGTGATGTGAGTGCTGAGACCTGAACTCAGGTCCTTTGGAGGAGCAGCAAGTGCTCCTGACCACTGAGCCACCTCTCCAGCCCCAGCTTTTGGACTTGCTGTTGCTGCTAATGATTGAGCCCAGGGCTTTGCCCGTTCTAGGTGAGAACAAGAGGACAATGCTGTCTGTCTTTCCTCTGAGGATACACACAAGAACTCCCAGTGTGGGCATAAAGAGGACTAGAAAAAGAAACCAGGAAATAATGGGCTGTGTGGTCAAGGTCCTGACAACAGTGCCAGCCATCAGTCCTGGATGTAGGGAGAGGCACAGTGTATAGAGACAGAGTCTAAAGGGACCCACGCACGGGTTTGGTCAGTTCCTTGGGATTCTATGCAGGACAGGACAGGTTGCTTCTCCTGGCTGTTGGGAGCCCATGAACTGAAATGGGAAAATGTCTTGGCAAGGAACTATAAAATGATCCAGAGAGATGGTAGAGGGAAGGAATGAGCGTTTCATGAGC